GACAGGGGATGAAGAGTTTTTACGCAGATAAAACACTCTAGATGGAAGCTTGCTTACCTCGTTTACTCTTGTCCAAACTAAAACCTGCTCTGGTTGTCTGTAATGTGAGTAGGCACATATGTGAGCTGTTGTTAATGGCTGCATTGAGAACAAGCGTCACTGTAGGTTTTTGTTCATTTTTTCCTTCCATTTAACTGTAAGAATTTACACCACCTTTCTTCAAAGCCACAATACAAATAGGTTAGGCTCAGGGTGGGGTTTTTTTTCGGTATAAAATACACTATGTAAGAAGAATTTTGTATGAAGACACCTTGTGAGTTTATTTATGTATTTTCTGACATCTCCACCAGAATAAAAGTTCCATGAGGAGAGATAATTTGTTTTGTTCGCTGCTGTATTCCTCAGTGCCTAAGTAGTATTTGACACAGAATATACTCAATAATATTTGTTTAATGAACAAATTAATGAATGAGTCCTGACCAAGGCATGTTGAGACTCTGACTGCCAAAGTAATGGTTAATTTGACTTTTTTCCTCTTTCTTTGAAATTAAATAATTTGTAATAAGGAAAACAACACAAAGATGAATAGCATCTTTAAAACATTAATAATGCACCCTTCCCTACTTTGTACTCCTCCTAAGGAATCCAATGTAATATATTTTTTCTATCCCTTTCTCCACGTTCAGAAAAACACAGACAAATATGGGCAGATGTCCTTCCTTCCTTCCCCGTCTTCTTACCCTCCCCATCCTCCCTCTGTCTCCTTCGCTAACAATTATTCTGAAGTTCCTTTTTTCTACTTACTATTACAACATAGAATTCCCTCCAGTTCAATAGAAATAAATCTAACACTGTTCCTTTCTAAGGACTGAATAGAGAAATATTTGAATGAACGCAACCATTCTTCTTTTGATGAACATTCAGATTGTGTCTCGATTTGTGTCACTACAAACAATGCTTATGTGAATATCCTTGTAAATGAAAGTTTATGGAGAACTAGATTTCCATCTATCAGACAGATTACCAAAACAAAATTTCTGGGGCAAAAATGTACTATTAAACATACATATATAAACACACACACATACAACATACAAACTTCATTGTCTACTATATATGTTGGAATATTTTTATGAAGTTTATTAATTTTTGACTTTGTATATGCTATTGTTGGAAGACAAATCTCCACGCGTCACTTGACTTTCCATCTGTCTGCTGAGCAGAGGCCCTGACTGTGTCCTACACTAGCCTTACAAGGATGCTTGTACAGAGAACAGCCATGGCAGATAAAGAAAGTACCGCCCTCTGGAGAAAAGGGCAGGCATGCTTACTGTCTGTGACAAAAAATTCGGGTTCTCTAAGCTCAGGGTACCTCTCCCATAACCCACTGTGTCTGCAGGTGTCACCTGACACTTTCCACTTCACTATGTGGGAATTGGGGCTTTGAAAACCAATACAAGAAAATGGTGATACTCTAGCTACTGCTATTGCTGTGAGTAATAAAGTCTTTTGTCTCTGAACAAGGAGGCATATCTCCTGCCAGCATCCATGAAACAGTGGCAGGCTGTGTTAGCTTGCAAGTGCAAGTAGGTCAATAACAAGACATTTCTTGGGTTTAGATGGCTATATACACGGTTAAAAATATTGACAGAGCAAGTTGCATATCTTTAAGTCTTCTGTGAATCATGTCTAATTTTCTGGTCTCCTACAATCCAAAATTATATAAATAGTGAGGTAAATTTTCTTCTGATCTTATTTTTATGTTTGAATATTCAATGTAGAATACATTTTTGTATAATGTGGAAGATAAGGGCCTTAATGTTTTCTCTTCCACATGACAGAAATCTTTATTAAATAAATCATCCTTTACCCATTGAATTAAAAGTTTACCCCATTGTATAGTAACCCCTCATACATATTTGAATCTACTTTGGAATATTTTAGGTTTCAACAGACCACTGATTGGGATTCTTGTGAAAAGAGAATAAGGTTTTGATTACAGTAGCTCTGAATACATTTTAATTTTTGTTAAGACATGGCCATCTTTGCTATTTTTATTTAAGATGTTTTAGTTACTCTAGACATTTATCCTACTATGTGAATTATTCAGAATAATTTATACCTATTGTAAAAGACATTCATTAAAATTCTGAGCAGATTTGCATTAATTTATGTAATATGTTTGGAATGATTGCTAATTTTATGACATTAGATTTTTTTATCTAGATATTTGCTATTTGTTTGGGTCTTATTAAGTACTTTTATAATAGGTCATATTCTTATACAATCAAGTATCTTCTCTTTCCAGGTATTTTACATTTTCTGTTTTTCTTTTGATCAGGATACACATAGACACATACACAAATTTTTGTCCCCCCAAAATAATCTTTACCAGCTAGATATTGCTTGTTTGCACAAAAGCTATTTATATGTGTATGTGTATACATATACACACACATATTTTATTTTTATAATATATTTATATATAAATATGTTTATAATATACAATATATGAATATATATTTATACACACACATGTATTTTGTATTCAGTCATTTTACCTACTCCCTTATTCAACCTAAGAGTCCTTAATAAAGCCTGTTAAGATTTTAGGTATAACTATATTATCAGTAAAAAAATTTTTAAAAATTGTTTTCAAGTAGTTATATTGATTTTTCAAGGATTTTTAAAAATATTTTTGCCTGATTATATTAGGTATAATTGTCAAACATTATTGAATAATAGTAGTGATAAGTAGATATCTCTGTATTATTCATGATTTTATTGAAAATAGTTTTCGTTTTCCTTTTAAAGTATAATATTAACAGGTATAATTTTATCATGTGTAAATAATTTCTTTCTATTTTTATTTTATAGCTTATAAGGAATGATGGATGAATTTTATCAGTATCTATGAGTTTTATATACAGTATATAAATATTTATCAGTAGCATCTTACAATATAATTAAATAATCGTTATATTAAAATCTTTGATAATACATTTTGTATTTGATTTACTAAGGTTGAACTATGCTTGCATTCATGAAATACGTTTCACTTATTCACAGATTATTATTCTTTTAATACATGGCTGGGGTTAATAAGCTAATGTTTTATTTGAATCTTCACATCAATACTCATAAGCAAAAATGATGTTAGTTTTCTTAGAGGGTGCGACCCCAAAAGGTTTTGGTGTTAAAATTATGCTGGTTTCTTAAAATGAATTGGCAAGCTTCTGATTTTTTTCTATTCCTTGGATTATTTAAATAACATAAGAATTACATTTTTAAAAAAATATTTAGTTAGAATTCAGCTATAAAATCATCTCAGTCCAATGCTTCAAAATTTTACATTTTTAATTGCCTGTCTAATATCTCCTATGGTTATTGTTTGGTGTTTCCAGCTGATATTTCAAAGGCTTTAACACCTGTGACATTAAGGGAAGCTCTCAGAAGTTTTCCTCAAGAAAACTGGTAAGATAAATGGGAGGGAAGAGTAAAGTCCCACCAGAAAACCACTGGAGAGTAGTTGATTTACTCACACTACAAAAGCTACCTTTCGCACTCAGATTTGAGGAGCTACTGTAAGCAGCAGGATGAACAAACCAACAATCCAAATTGTTGAAGACAAAGAAACAGATTTATTTGTTCCTTTCTCAAATGCTTCTTCAACCGAGAGATAGGAAGAATAAAATGATCCTATCCCATTTTCTTGGTCCCCAGATCTGCTTTGCCCCACTTAGGCTTCATTTTAAAACAAGGTCAGGAAATAAAATCGTCATTTCCTTTGCAAAAGTGATTTGTTAAGATCCTAAATATAGTTCTTTAAATATTTCTATAAGCATCTCTTCTCTGGCTTTTATTCCTCTTACCAGTTAACTTTTCCTCTCTTCTTTCTAACGTCTTTGGTGGCTTTTTTTTATCAGGTAGCTGAAATGTGTCCCTTAGTATCAGTCATTTCCTACATCACTAGGTTTATCGTTTTATCTTTGCTACCCCAGCTGAACTGTTTTCCCACTTCTCCTTCCAGCTACACCCCCACATGGGCATCGGCTTCTTTCTACTATGCTCTTACTATTGCTTTGTGTCACCAGAATCACCCTCCAAAGAGCACACTAACTCAGCAGTGGGCCCTTCCCATAATGATTTAATTGCTTCTGATGCAATCTTTGAACCTCTCCCAATCATCAGTAACTCAAAATTAAATCTGTTCTTTCAGAAAGCAAACCATATGGAGCATGCTGTACCACTAGGACATGAGATGCAAAACTAGATGATAAAGATGGTATCATCAGGCTCAAAAATACAATTAAGTCACATCAAAGATGGTCAGAACACAAACTGTACTCTGTGTTCTCCTTTATCTCAGAACAACACAGAAAAAAAAAAAACAGGCACACACTTCATAAGAAATGGGCCTTTGCATTTTGATCTGTATAAAAGGAAATAGACCGCTCAGAGTGATAAGCTGTGGGTTAGTGGAATTACATTCTAAATTAACATAAATTGCTACACCTACGCCTCATGATAGAACCTGAGAAATTGTTTTTTAAAAATAGAATTTTAGTACAACAGTGACCAATAACCCAATTTTTATACTTTATCTTTCAACCCTAAAAGTAAGAAAATTATGGGCCCTCGTGGGAATATTGTATATTTCCAGAAAACAAAACAAAGGACCACATTGGAAGACTCTTGAATAACTCATACAAGGATAACAAAGTACCTTCCTGAGAAAATCTTTGCTATTTAACTGTACCTTGCCTTTACTCTGATCACTCTGCCCTTTTGCATATGAATTATGCTTCCTGCACTTAGTGTATGTGCTAGAGTTACCATGTACCAAATACTCAATGTGTTCCCCCATGTGTCCCATCCTCCGTTGTGGTGAAGTTGGGGCCATGTGACTTGGTTTGGCAAATGGGCTGTGAGCGCAAGTGTCACTTCTCAGCTAAGTCAATTAAAGGCAGATGTGCTTCCTCCATTCTTCTCTTCCCAAGCTGCCACAACCTAAGAGGCCACAAGGTGAGAGCACAGCATCACAAGATTGCGACAGTTGTGTCCCTGAGTCACCTGATGGAGGAGAGCCTCTGCCCACCAACAGAAGGGTATGTATAGTCACAGGACACTAAGGTAGAAAGGGACTTAAGAGATCACCCATTCCAGTGTGTTTCACAGTTTTTTTTTTTATATAGATACTGGGGTTATTTATTTATTTTTTTTAATTAAGATTACGATAGTTAACAACCTTGTGAAATTACAGTTGTACATCATTATTAGTCATGTTGTAGGTGCACCACTTCACCCCTAGTGCCCTCCCCCCACCCCCCCTTTCCCCTGGTAACCACCGATCAGTTCTCTTTGTCCATATGTTAACTACCACCTATGAGTGGAGTCATACAGAGTTCGTCTTTCTCTGTCTGGCTTATTTCACTCAACATAATACCCTCCAGTGTGTTTCACACTTTTGATTGGGTGTATCAACAGAAGACCTTTACCACATGAAATACAAAATACTTAGAGATGAAAGTGAAGCTGCTCTGTTAGCAGTGTAATGGATCTCCTAGAGTCCCAGCCTTGGCTCTTTGTCCCCTCCCTTACTTCCACCTTCAGCTACCAAATAATCTCCAACATCCACACCTCCACAGATATACAGAGCAAGGTTGCCACAGGACACAGTTTGAAGAGTCCTAATCTAATTCAACTCCCTCAATTTGCAGAAGTTGTAGGAGCTTATATGTCTTGCCCAGGTTCTTTCTCATACATGAAGAGCAGAACCAAGGCTATTTTTCTATGTCTGTGTGTGTGTGCTTGCGCATGTGTGAATTTTTTCAACCTGCATCATGAAATGAAGGTTTGACTCTACCAGATGGTGAAGTTTTTGAGAGGAGGGTTTGTGATAATGGTTTATTGGTTTGCCTCTGGGCAAATCCCAGCTTACTGCCTGCCTGTTGATATTCACTGAATATTTACTGGTTAGATATTTATCAAAGAACACATCAATGTTTGTATATATCCAAGGACCAAAAACCAATTTAAAATGTAAATAGGAAGCACTGCAGTCATATTGGAAATCAGTTTGACATTATCTCCTAGAGCTGCACAAACACAAAACTCCAGTGACCCAGAAATTCCAATCTTCTGAATATATTTCCAAGAGAAACACATGCACATGTACAACAAAACTCCCACTCGAGAATATTTTTAGCAGTACTGTTCACTATAGAAAGAACCTATTGTATATAGTGATCATGCATTGGAGAATTGATGACTATGACATGGTACAGTTCACAAAAGTTAAAATGAAGAAACTATATTAACATGCAAAATATGGATGAATCTTGGCAATGTAATATTATAAAAATTAATTTCCAAAAGATCACATATAGCATGATATTCTTTTTAAGAAACAACAAAATAAGTATGTGTGTAAATATGTAATACACATGAAAGCAATAGATGTGTATGTGACACACAGAAAGGAAGACAGGTTAATGATAAACACACGATTTAGGATAATACTTAGCCTGGATAAAGGAAGGCAAAGGGATAGAGGGCATATGGTTAGATGTCATTCACTATTTCCAAGGTCTTTGCTTTTGCTAAGTTCTGGGTTCACAAGTGCTTATTATTTTTAGATGGTTGCACAGATAGACATGGACCAACAATGAGCATGTGATTTGAACCTAAGACTGTGATTAATTCAATTCTGGGCTTTAGATCTAAAGGAAAAGAGTGATGTTAAAGAATCTCAGTGGATGTTAGGACAAAAAAACAGAGATAAAACTTGTTTCCCTATCCCTCATAAGCACACCAATACACACTTAGCTACTCTCTTGGTTTAAATATTGAAGGTAAAATTATCAATTATCTGATAATATCAGCAGCTTTGGAAAGATAAAGAACTATTCTAGGTGACCTAAAGAGTACAAATGGTAAATGATATCCAATTTAAGAATAACAATGAAATTACAGATGTTGACATACATACAAACACTCACATACCCCTCACCTAAGGAGGGTAAAATGGAATCAGAATAGTTTAAATTAGGCAGCCTTTGCATGCCTCCATTTCTCCTTTCACATCCCTAACACTATCATGGTGTACTTTCACTCTGACTAGTTTTCTCCTCTGATCAGGTGGCTAATCTTGAGCATATCACCCAACCAGTTTGTATACCCTCATTTCCCTGTGAGTTGTGAGCATTAAGAAATGAATAAAAATATTAGTATAGGGTCTGATACTTAATAGTTTGCCAAGAAATGTTGATTGAATTTTAATCTGAAAGTAAACAAAAAGGAAGACTGTTGAGACGCATACTCAGTGATGTACCAGGCAAGCTACAGTGCGATGACACAGATGCAAGTCTTTCAAAAATGCGGAGTAGCCAAGCCTCACTCCTCGCCCTTTCCCTAAATCTGTTCATCCAAAAACAGAGAACAAGAAAAATGTATCCACATTGGTAATCTATATGTGTAGGTTAGAGGCTTTCTATTAAATAATCAGTGTCCATTTATAGAATATTTTGAGTTTCAGAGTAATTATTTTGTTCTTTTTGGCATAGCTATAATGAAGGTACTGAATTTCATCTTCACTTTTGTGCTAGAGTTCCATTAAAATGTTTACTAAAATTAGGGAAGTTTTAAAGCATAGAAACTTAATTGCATTAATTATCCTCTCTCACCCTCAAATGTCTTATAATGAAACTAAACAGTGGATGCAGTAACGAAGCAAAGGACAAGTTGGATTTGCATATTTTATAAACATGCTCAGAAGAGTAACTGTGCTATTTTGCTTGGAATGGTAGTTAGCTTAATCATGTGTTGATGAAAGAGAGCGCCCAATTTCCTCGGGGCAGGGAGGGGTGAAGAGGAGTGACTTTGAAATGATGTCCTGGGTGTCCTCCTTTGCTCTTACTTGGGAAAAGAGGAGAAAACAGGGGCTGGCCCCGTGGCCGAGTGGTTAAGTTCACGCGCTCGGCTGCAGGCGGCCCAGTGTTTCGTCAGTTTGAATCCTGGGTACGGACATGGTACTGCTCGTCAGGCCACGCTGGGGCAGCATCCCACATGCCACAACTAAAAGGACCCACAACTAAGAATATACAACTATGTACCGGGGGGCTTTGGGGAGAAAAAATAAAATCTTTAAAAAAAAAATGAGAAAACAAATTTTCAAAAGAATATCCCTGTTTACAGAGAAGTTAATTGTGAAACTTAAAACAGTTTTCCATTGCCCCCCATGTGGGACATAAATATGTTTAATTCACTGAGTGCAAATCTACACAGATTGAGAAAATCCTCTCCCAGCTTTAGCTCATGAAAGACCCTAAACTTGCTTCATGATACAAAGATTATCTAAAAAGACTGGACGAGGTCGATGTACTTGACTGGTCCTTGCTCCTTAGTCAGTTCCAAGGAGGGCCATTACTCACTAGGCTGGCAGCCATCCTGCTCCAGGCCCTAGATACTACCCCTCTGGGTAAGCAGAATGCTGTCCTTGGCCACACTTCCTCACTCCCCTCTCCTCCACCAACCCTCGACACACACACAACCAAGGCTGCAGAGCCCAAACCACTGTGAAGTCAGCAGCACAGTGCATTTTTGGATCCATGTTTCTCCAAACAACACCTTATTGGATGAAGAATCTATGAATAAAGAAATATTATAATTCTTCTGGAAATTTTTTGTGTGATATACTGCACTAGTTCAAGATAATAGAGATAAGAAAAATGGCACCTGAGCAGAACAGAATATACTATATGAAATTCTGATAGAATCTTAGAATTGAAGTAGAAACTACATACCTGCCCCTCAGCCCAATTAGTTTAGCTGAAAAGGAAAACTTTCCATCACACGTGGACAAAAGACAAGACTGAGGTCAGTCTCCTCTGTTTATTGAAAATTACGCTCTTACATTGTTTGAGGATGAGAGAGAGAAAAAAATTACACGTGGCCTATGAAAAATATTGTCAAATAAGGTAAAGATTAAGAAAATAAATGAATTTAGAGTAGGAATCAGAAGAAAACTTCCAGTAACTGTTTGACATCTCCAATAAAGTTCAAGAGACACGGCTGCTATGAAATAAAAGGAGACTGTTATAAAAAACCAGTTGAGGCAGAAAGTCAAATGAATGAGATAAAGATGGAAAAGAAAGTGGTTTCCCACAAAGAACCCAAACCAGGCTGGCTCCGGACATTTTCGCCGTATTATAAAATACAAGGAATCAAGGAAGAGACATGCAAATAATGATAAGACAAGATTGTGGCCCAATTTAAAAAAAAATTCTATGAAAGGTGTTTTTCATGAACTACGGCAGAAATATGTTCTCAGATATGTGAGTGATGAGAATATATAGTATTTGTACGTTAAGTTACCAGACGATGTACTCCAATTGACCTAGAAATAGAGCACAATGAAGGATTCATAATTGCCTACCACCTTAAAAAAGGACAGTTATAAGCAGTAAAATCAGTTTTAAAAGGCAAGAGACTAAATTATTTTTGTATCTATTAAGAATACTAAATGGAATGTAAAAAAAAAAAATACCTCTAAAAATCAGTAATCAGTAACATTTTCTCCTTCAAAAGCACCCTTCTGGGGGCCGGGCCCATGGCCGAGTGGTTAAGTTTGTGTGCTCTGCTTTCGCAGACTGGGGTTTGCTGGTTCAGATCCTGGGCATGGACCTCCAAACTGCTCATCAAGCCATGCTGTGGGGGCATCCCACATAGAAGAACTAGAATGATCTACAACTAGGATATACAACTATGTACTGGGGCTTTGAGGAGAAAAAAAAAGAGGAAGATTGGCAATAGATGTTAGGTCAGTGCCAATCTTCCTCGCCAAAATAAAACACCGTCTTGCTTCCATGAGCAGCACTCCTAATCAATCACCTGCTGAGATCTTATGAACACCAAGAATCCTTCTCAACACAGTGTTCTGAGCCTTTGTTGCCAATTTATTAGAACTGGCCTTTAAGGTAAAACTATGTGATACCACAGGGTTAAAGAACAGGACTTTTTAAGCCAGAGAAGATAATTCAATGGAATTCTTTATTAAAAACTTCAACAAACAAGATCATCTAAAGACAAGAAAGAAGATGGGAAAGAACTTTTGGTTGAGGCTAATTTATTGTGATATATTCCTTATTGTGAGTATAGTTATGCATCTTCATGAATACATAAAACAGTCTGCTGTAAATAGGATGTTCCAAGGCTGGATGGAGTATATGTGGACAGATTGGAAGGCAATATGCAAACTTGAAGAGATTATGATGGTTACCAGTGACTATTTAGTTTTCCTTTTTTAGTACAAGTTTTATAATTTATAAAGGAAGAGAATATTGCATGATTTAAGATGGACCACTCATTTTTATAAATTTTTATAACACTAATTTATAATTAAATTTAACATAATACCTTGTAAATAGGATTGATGACATGTGCTGATTCTATTTCCAATTCAGACTAGACCATTAATTCTCTACTCAATAGAGACTCTCACCTTACTCATTTACTCCTATGTGCCAGGTTCCACTTCAACTAAAAACAACAGAATGTGTAGCCAAAGCACAGATTCTCAGGGGATATAAAGGTATTGGGATTCCCACAGTTTCTGCAATATTATTTATCCTTGTGATATCATTACAAGTCTTAAAAGTAAAAAAAAAAAAAAAATTGAAATCGGTGGATTAAATTTGTATTTTTTAACTGAATTCAATACTTCAAATTTAATTCATTTCAATGTATTTTTGCCAACTCAGATGCTAATGGCCTTGAATCCAATTATCCTATAGATCTGTCAACCTGTAACAGCCTAGAGCCAAGTAGAAGGTCTTAACAGAAAAACGAGGCATTTCATGGGATGGTAGAAATTGGAGAAGAGGCTAAGAAGTGATTAAGTCACCCAACGATGCACACGGCTCTGGAGGATTCACCTTCCCTAATTACACAAAGTTCAGCCAACCAACTCAGCCTAAATTTTCTCTTAATTGGCTGTCATAGCTTTTAAACCATAACTGGGAAACTTAATTTACACTTGGGTTGGAAAAATATTAGAAGTGGAAGGCTAATAAATGTGACCATAGTGGTCACTATCAGTGTAACTGATCACAATGTCACCTACCATTGTGTGAAAATACTCAAAATCAAAGAACAGACCAGTTTCCTCCGATAACTTCAAAATAAGGACATCACTACTTCTTGGGTCTATCACTGTCAATCTCTCTCAAATGAAGAATCAGACTTTAGCTCTAAACGTACCCCTCATAATTCTGTTTCAGAAATAAATACATTTAAAGGACAAAACTAATTGCTAATCTATCTCAAAAGAAACAAAATCTCAGTTTTAAGTCAAATTCTTTAACAAATTCTATTGTGTTTGAGTCATTTTCCACTTTTTGTCTATTCATATATGTTTGCTCTATCTATCTAAACTACCGGGCATTTGATCCAAGAAAAAGAGAAAAGGTTTTGTGAGGTGAACTCCACCTGTGAGGATGGACCCAGGGCAGGCTCGAGTCCACTTCCAGGCTCAGTCTCCTTCAGCCTCTCCCCTCCACCCTTGTTTCTGGCTCTGAGATGAGGACTTGCTTCTCTGCCCTGTCTTCCCCAGATTGTCTATGTTTTCAAAGGTCCAATCACTTTTGTCTTTCTTAGTAGGACCACAATAATTAAATCTAAACAAAACAAGGTTATTTTTGTTTTGCTTAAAAAAAAAGGTATATATATTTAACTGTTGCTCCCATATCTTCATCTCCTAAACCAAATAATGACAAATAAAATTTTTTAAGGAAAAGTCTTTTATAAATTTATAATATTTGAAAGAACTTCAGGAATTTACATGTGAAGCACAAGACTACACAAGGTTGTTAACATAAAGATAAAATCAAAAGTCTTTTTAGGAAAAAAGGGCATGGTAACTATGCCAACAGGAGTATAATTGCTGTATTTGAATACTGAGTTAAATTGAGAGCTCTTAGACAACAAAAGCAAAGAAGGAGATGCAAAAAGGGATGGCAGAAATCTTACTAGATGATAAAAGAAAACAAGCTAGTAGTTCACGTTTTCCAGGAATCAAAATTCTAAAATGAAATCATCATTATCACATGAATCCTTATGTAAATGAGCACTGAGTAATATAATACAAAATATCTTCATCTGAAGTTCTGAAAAAGGATCAGTATATTTGTTTTCATTTCTAGGGCAATCATATATTTTTGAAGCTTTACTTTTTCTATTAATTAATTAATGTAATTAAATAATTAAGGAAATCTAATTTCTCTTCAAATTATTTTTATTGTTATATTCAGAAATGATCTATTCTAATGTTTTTTAAATATTAGGCACATTAGGTAATATGTCATGAAATTGATGATTTATTGCTGTCATTGTCTTTCTTTTTTTCTTTTTCTTTTTGAGGAAGATTAGGCCTGAGTTAACATCTGCCATCAATCCTCCTCGTTTTGCTGAAGAAGACTGGCCATGAGCTAACATTTGTGCCCATCTTCTTCTATTCTATGTAGGACGCCTGCCACAGCATGGCTTGCCAAGCAGTGCCATGTCCGCAACCAGGATCCAAACCAGCGAACCCCAGGCAGCAGAAGTGGAACGTGCGAACTTAACCACTACGGCACCAGGCCGTCCCCTCGTTGTCTTCTATTTTTGAAAGTAAAAATCATACCACTTGTAAAAAAGAAAATGACAGATTTTATGTGTAAAAGAAGAAAGCCATAATCCAAAGCCTAAATCATATAAACCCAAAAATAACTTTTTTCTTGGATGTGATTGACAACATTCTGCAATTTCTGAAACTTTAACAAAATAACAAGGAAGTCACGGTGTGAAAAATCATGAATACACTTTACAAGTAAGGAGCTGAGTAAGAAAGCTCCATCTACAAACCAAAAACGGAGCAACGTAAAGGAAATTACCAAAATTTAATTTTCAAGCTTTATACTGCTGTTTGGTCTGTGTTCTGATTTTTAAATAAGTACAGCTATTTCCAATTATTGATAGTTACTGCATTTTCTCCCAGAAGCAGAATCACAACATGATTTTACTTCAGAGAATTAGGTAGATGGTTAAAGGTTACACATTTTAAGCTGATGGCTTTTTAAATTTGTTTGGTTGAGAACATTTTTTAAATTTGAAATGCAGTTGCTAAACTTAGTTTTATTGTATTATTTTGGTAAACCCAATATTCGAGATTTTCTCTTATACTCCGCATGCTAATGAACTTTATGTATTCTGTTTACTTCGCTTAGTAGAACCTCAAAAGTAATTCACCTATTCTTCATTTTATTTTGAGGCTTACTGAGAAGAGGCTGTTTACTAATTTTTCAATGAAATAAAATTTTATTAAAAGGATAGCTCAAGACTGAAATTCTGTTGTTCCAATAGTGTATACCTGAACTTCACACTTCTTAACCGCTTAAATGAAAATGTGTTTCCCTGGTTTTTATCCTTCCCCAAATTGTGAGTCTCTCTCAACGGGCATTCTACGACTTCTCATCATAATTAGCGTCGTCAGTGTCTGGCACACAGTAGGCACTCAATGTTTACTGAATGAATTAATGAATCACCCAATACCCATCTACTACGTTCTAGGAACTATGCTTCACACACACTCTTCACTGAACCTCCCATGTCCAGGTTCCATGTTTCTACTCACTGCAATCTTGCAAGTTAGGAGCTATAATCCTCATTTACAGAAGAGGAAATAGACGTGTGGAGGTTAATTCCAAAACAATGTCATACAGCTAAGAGTGAAAGAACTAGGTTGCATACTCTCTTTTTCTGGTTCCAAATTTGATTATTTTTCTACTAAACCTGCTACTAAAAGTATATGGTATTTATGGTAATCTTCAACTAAATTAAAAATTCTCTCTAGTGCAAGGTACAATGATCAGTGCTCTGGAAGATAGAAAGATGAATGCACATGGGCTCTGTCCTCAAGGGGTTTATAATCTACTAGGAGGACAGTGTGTGGACAATTCATGATGTCATGGTGAAAGCCAGAATGGGGTCCGTGTAAGAGTACCATAGTACAGCATCCTCCCCTTATCCACCGTCTCACTTTCCACGCTTTCTGTTACCCACGTCAACCTTGGTCAGAAATTATTAAATCAAAAGTTCCAGAAATAAACAATTCATAAGTTTTAAATTGTGGGCCATTTTGAGTAACATGATGAAATCTCCTGCTGTCCTTCTCCCTTCCGCCTGGGACATGAATCATCCCTTTGCCCAGCGTATCCACCCACGCTGTATGGGCTACTGGCCATTAGTCTCTTAGCTGTCTCGGTTATCAGATCGATTGTTGCAGTATTGCAGTGCTTGTGTTTCAATAACCCTTATTTTACCTAATAATGGTCCTAAATTGCAAGAGCAGTGATGCTGGCAATTCAGATATGCCAAAGAGAAGCCATAAAATGCTTCCTTTAAGTGAAAAGAACATAGTATATATAAAGTTTGGTACTATCCATGGTTTTAGGCATCCATTGGGGGTCTTGGAATGTATCCCCCACAGATAAGGGGGCACAACCATACAGAGTACTGTAGAGGCAGGAGTAAAGAAGAAAGTCCCTTCTAAGGAAAAGGGACCAAGAGATGCCTCATGAATTCAGAGGAACCAGAACTAGTTTTTGAAGAGTAAGTACAATTTGACAGGTAATATTTCCAGTAGAGGGAGTAGCAGGAACAAAAGCAAGGAGGTAGGAAGATACTGTGTATTTATCATTCACACTTACATTCACTCATTCAATGAGTTGTTGACCACTATAAATGTGGGGCATACAGTGAGATGGACAAAGCCCCCACCTAAAACGGCTTACATTCTAGAGGTGGAAAAAGTAAAATACCTAGAAAACAAATAAATGAACAAAAATTTTCAGAGTAATAAGTTTGAGTGAATTAAAACAGTGTTTTGGATTAGGTGGTCAGGAAAATAAATAGGATAAAGTTAAAGAAATCCAATAATGGCTGCTAAAATTAGATATGTGTGACTTGACCTAACAATCTTCCTTTATGCAAGAAAGTTGCTGAAGAATGTTTATTATTAACAACAGCAACAACAAAATGACCATAATCTTCCTAAGTACCAGCTACTACGCAACACTATGTAGTTATTGAAAAGAATGAGTTAGATCTTTTTATTGACTTAAAAAATTTAGCCATAATATATTGTTACAACAAATAGCAAGTTGCAAAATATGATCAGATTGAAGAAAAACACAACTTGATTACATTAAATATTGTGAAGGTACACGAAATAAGCACTTTTAAATACTGTTAAGAGAGTATAAATAGGTAAACTTTGCTACAGACGATTTGACAGTATCTATCAATATTAAGAATGCTTGTATCATTTGATCCAACATTTTTTAAAATCAGTCTAAAAGATTCTTACACACTCTGCATTTTAAGAACATTTAGTGTGTGATTTCCCTTATGTTAAAACATATTTTTCAAAAATTTAAATGTATTTTTGTATATTCACCTACTGAAGAAAACAGGAATGTTTTTTCTTCCAACTACCCTGTAATCCCCACAGAACTCTTCCCCAGCCCCTGACCCACTATTTCTTCTGGTGAGATCTTTGGGGATTTTTAGGCCCAGATTGTTATTTTTTACTGAAGTATAATTATATGGACTTAACTACATGCTTTACTGATTTACTTGCTCACTAGTCCTTCTTCAATTCATTTTTGTTTTGTCAGAACACAGGCTTAAATGCTTATTTTAAGCATAAGACCATTAAGAGGGTCTGTAGATGATGATAGTTCTGAGTCTTAGCATATTTGTTAATGTGCTGGCTAGAGATTTTAGGTCCAAAATCAATTTCCCTCAGAATTTGAAATTTGGCCCCACTTTCTCTTATTGTTAAGTCTAATGCAAATCTAATTCCCACTCCTGTTTTTTTTTTTTTTTTTTTCTTTGTAGACAATTTGGGATTGTTTTCTTTATCCTTGGCTTTCTAAAAATTTTCCATTTTATGTTTAGATTCATTCATTCATTTGATGAATATTTACTGAGCACTGACTCTGTGCCAAACAGTGTTTTGTATTTTAGAGCTGTAATAGTAAACACAATAGACAAAGTATGGATCTTTATTATTTAATCTACTGGCCACTTGGTGGGCCCTTTTAATTAGTGTTATACTTCACTTTGAAAATATTTTATAATTTCCTTATTTCTTCCATTCCACCCTCGCTGTTCTATGTGCTTGGAATGCTCAGAAGACAGATATTGTAGATTTTGGACCCATCTTCCAGATTTTTAACCTATTTTTTGTTCTTTATTCTGAAGAAACCCTTCTTAATTCATTCTTTAGCTGTGTCTATTCTGCCATTAGGCCAACTAACGAGATCTTGAAATTTCTACCAAGATAGTTATGTAAGTATTGTTGATGATTCTTATCATTCTGCATGAACCAAATTCATCTGCTTTCTTTTTTCCCCATCTGCTTTCTTTCTGTCATGAATAATTGTTTTATAAAATAATTAAGATTTTTAAATTACCAATTACATATATTATCGAGATATTTATTTTTCTACTAATGGCTTGTTTTCTTTTAATAGATGTTATATCATCTTTTCAACATCACTTATAGTTTCTTTAACTTTTTTTTATTTATTCAAATAACTAAATTTTCAGGTATAAAATCATCTATTTGGTGACTCTCTAAAATGATAGATTTCCTCACGCAGTTCTTGGTTGTCTGGTCATCTTTGTGTTCCAGAGTCACTGTCTGACTCTTTGATGCCTCTTCCTTTCTACAACAGTTACCTCTGGTGCTTGTGGGAAAAGAGCTGGGCATGCTTTGTAGGCAAGTTCATAGCTAGTCTCCTGCTACCTGACTCCAGGCCCCTCCTGGAGGTCACGTACATTCCCTTTATCGTGACAGCAAACTGCTAGTGCCCACTGCTCAGCACCATTGGAGAGAAAAGGGGAGACTGACTGGTTTTCTTCCTCAGAAAGCAATTATGCTATTATGGATCCCAATGTTCTAGAAGCCTCAACTGCTTCTTGCATTCATTCACTTTGAAGTTGCAGCTCCCTGGGAGTCCCTCCCACATCTGTAGTGGTGTTCTGCTTTCTTTTGTGCTGTACCTTCTCTATAGCATTGTTCTGCATGAATCAAATTCATCTCCTTTCTTTTTTCCACATCTGCTCTCTTCTGTCAAAAATTATTGTTTTATAACATAATTAAGATGATTTAAAAAAATACTTTTTTGTCTATTTTAAGAGATTTGGGGGAAGCTCATGCAAATGTTCAGCCAACCTCTTTATCTAACTACTTTCTTTTCATACTCCATCAAATTAATACAGCAAGAAAAATATTTTCTGAAAAATGGTTACTTTTACCTAGAATATGAAAACCAAAAGTATTGAACATATTCCTCATGAAATAATCATAGAGAAGGCAGCAAGACGAATCAGTTTTATCTTATTTTGTTTTGTCCTGTGCTCATTATTAGACCACCATTTCTCAGCTTCAAATTCATGCTTCTGTTCTTCCCTTTTTGTGACTCGGGCTGGGACTCTGCAAACCAGTTCTCTTTTGCT